ATATATATATATATATATATATATATATATATATATTCCCCGTAGACCCATGACTTGTATTAATACTATTTCTCTGACTGGAATATACCAAAACTGATCGAAATAGTAATGATAACATCGTCAAAATAAGTTAACTCTGAAATTAAGTAAATCAAGCTAAAAAGTTTAGATAAAAAGTTTATAGATAAAAAGTTTCGAATAAATTTAAAATTAATCGACGTAAAAAATAAATATTAGGGTAAATTTTTGCACTGATGTAAAGCTAGAGCTCAAAAAAAAATTTCGAAAATACAAAATATACAAAATATAAAAATATAATTTACCTCTCTTAATTCAAGGTCATCTTTTTCGTGAACATCCACAGCTAAACGAGTCGTATGATGACGCATGAACTTGGAACTGTTCGGGATATCTAAGATGCTACTCGATGATGGGATAATATCTTCCTCTTGATGCTCACATTCTTCCCTGCTGGCGCTATGATAAATGATTATAATGGTCAAGTTGTATGCTACTGCGGCATATAACTGAGAAGTATTTCAAAAAACTAAACTGATCGAAATAAAACAATGATTTCAAGATAGTAACAGCAAGTTCAAAATGCTATTATGATAATTTTATAAAATTGATAATGATTCTGAAATAATAACAGCTATTGCGTAACTATGACTACATTATTCTGCATCAAGACAATAATTGCCTGGAAGTTAAATGAGTGATGAACATTTGTAATAAATTAATATATTTATAAACTCTCGCTACTATTAGTTTAAAAAAATCGGTAAACTCTGAAAAATATCACACAGCTTCTGGAATCTTGTCACCATTTAAGTTAAAAAAAGTAAAATTATCACCATTAAAACCGCTAAAAAAGCACAACAGTGTAAGGAAGCAAAATTTTCCGAGGGAAAACCTAACAAAAGAATCTAAGCCTGAAAAAAGAAATTGGAAAGAGCAACAAAAAAAAGCGGCACCACCTTTGAAGCTTAATTCGCAATTTGTAAAAAAATTTCCGGAAAAGTTTCTCGATATCTGAATCTTTTTCAGCTATTTTCCACGGCTCATCGCCAAAGAAGAATCGCCGCAAACGGCCACAATGCAGTTCCAAATCAGAATTCATTCCATAAGTACGCCTTGAACTGTAAAAATAAATGAATTTTTCAAAATTGTTTTCCAGTTCCACAATGACAAATATGAAGCGGAGAGTGTACGAAACAATTCCAAAATGGTAATTGAATGAGATGTACGACTGAGTAACATTAAATGAAATCGAAATTTAGAAGAATAAAATTACATTCAATATTAAAGTTAGTCATCTAAATTACTTGAATAGAACTGAAATTTAGAGGAGTAAAATGAGAGTTGGAATTAACATAAACGGAAGCTTTTAAGCTGAAATCTTATTTGAATTAGTTTAAACAGAACTGAAATTTAATTGCCATTAGAATAGAAAGTCAAAGATTTAAAATTTGATTAACCCGCAAGGAAGTAGAATGCAACACTTTTAAAATCAGAAATAGAATTAAAATCAACTAATGAATGGGACTTAATTATTAAAGAGGAATAGAACATCGGCAATGCACGCATAGTAAGAAATAGTACGCATTTAAGGAGAAATGAAAGATTGATACAATGCAGAAACTTCCTAATGATCAAGTAGAATGAATATACAGTTGGTGAGAGAAAGCTGGGATTTGGAAATAACATGGAGTTGACTTGTCAAGAGAAAAAGAGCAAAAACTTCAAGTCATTTGAAATTTGGACTTTAATTAAATTATGGGGTGAGTCCGTTATTAGGTTTTGATTAATTTGGCAAATTAGTCTGATTTCAATAAAATCTAAACTGAGATGGATATAGTAATTGTAGAAAAATTGCACGAAGACAGTCTACTTTAAGCTGATTCTCATTGCAAACAATGAGAGTTAAAGAGATTAATTTTAAATGGCAAATAATGGCTTCTGTTAAGCTAAGTACTAACTCTAACAGACTCTGCTCACCAATTTTGAGAACACGACCATCTTCTATCAGTCTCGAGAACATAAGCATCTCACATTAGTCTCAATCCTTGCAAAGTTCTCAGTAGTTCATTAAGCAAAAATGATCAGTTTGGCTTTGTTGGCATCCATCTATCTTGTCACTAAGCATTAGATATATATTTTTCAGGATTTTGTGGAGCAATAATTAATTTAATAATTTACTTTAACAAAATTAATCCTTTGGTTTTAATTTTCTTCTCGAGCACATCCACGCTTTCATTTTTTTTATGATTCAAATGGTAGAAAGAAAAACTGAAACACGTTACAATCACCAAAAAGAAATTTTCAGAAAAGGAATTATTTTCGACAATTAATTATTCAACTAATTCTATCCTTAGAAGGCGAGTGAGTAATTCAAATGTTAATGAAGCACTTTGAAAATATGTGAAATTTTTATTTTCTAATATCAAACAAGCAATACAACACACATGCACATACAAATGCTACGTGTAAATAATGAGCATATCAGTTGATGAATTCGTTTAATTAAGAGCGCTCTAAATTCGACAATATCGATTTATCAGGGAAAAATCATGAAATAATATCAATAAATATGATCACAAAGAAGGTTTTAAACTATTATTTGCTCGTCGTTTAGGTTGAACATTGATCGAAATTTATGTGATTAATTATATTTAATGAGCCAATTGCTATTGGAATGACAAAGGATGTTTATTAAACTTATGAACTTTTTGAATTTAATAAAAAATAGTAATCGTTTTTTTTTTGAATTCTAACTTATGATATTCCGTTTTCAACAAAGTTCAACTGGATGATACTATTTAAAAAATTGATACCAAATAAAAACAATAGCGTACAATATATTAAGCAATGTGTGCGAACTGTATTCGAAATTTAGGCTTATTGGTGAAGGCAGTTAAAATATGTTAGAAAATCGGAAAATTAGTGGAATGCAAATTATTTAAAATGTTGCAAAATTAATTTTCATTAGCGATTGTTGTTAAAATATTACAGTAACGATAGGATAAAATTAGGATATATCGATGTATTTATAAATTTTAATTGATAAGATTAACACTTACCAACAAATGATTAAATAATAATGATGGAATGGAATACGATATTGTTTTACAATATCAGTTAAGAATAATTCATTTTTCTCTTTTTTATCCAAATTATTTTTTTTAAAAAAATGCTTTTTTTAGTAATTTTAGCAAAATTGACAAATATGCGAAGCAAAGAACAGAAGGAAAAGAAAGATAATGATAACGATAACAATCAAAAAAACAATCAAACGTACTATTCCTTTTAGAAGAATTTTTTCCTTTTTTTCCTGCTTATCAATTTTTCGTATAAATTTTTATTCTTTTTAGCATTGATTAATTTTTAGATTTCTTTTAAAATTTGGTACAAAGAAATGGAAAATATAAAGTAAAATAACAACAATGAATTTTTTTTGCATATAAATTATCGATAAAATTGTCGAATATTTTCATTCAAATAACAGCACCATCGAAATGTCCTTTTCCTTTTCTTTTGCATATTTATAACGGTGACAATGTGACGGGATGCTCTCTTAATCTGACAATTTGCTCCACGCCATATTTGAATTTACAAGTACCT